GCTTTTTAAAATGTTTTTGTTTTGCTATAGGCTTTGTTACGTGTTGACAGGTTTGGAATTCATAAATTTCTTAAAACAAGCGAGATGATATATGTAAAATGCTTAGCCAGAGGTAGAAACTAAATACTTTTTTGCTAAATGCTAGTTATTATCACCATTGCAGTGTAGTAGGAAAAAATATATTTAATTATAATTTGCCAAAAAATTTAACTTACAATTTTTCTAATTATTATAGCTGTGAAACAATTTTCTATGTATTAGCCAATATTCAGTCAACCCCCATTGTAATAATAATGCCTTACAATATTTCTTGGATTGAATGCAACATGACTATATATTTAAGTTGTATAATTTAAAAAATAGTAATTTGTATAACACCTAAAGGCCCTTCCCCCGTGCCTTCTCTTCTATTTAATATATATCTTCTGCAGAACTTTTCAATTAAAATTAGCTCTGTGAATCGTTGTGAAAAATAAAGTTATGTATTAACAATGACAATTTAAAAAGATTATTTCCACCTGGGAGCCTTTAGCCATGTAGTCAGTCCACTAATCATTTTTCAGCAGATTAATCATGGTATAGCACCATACCATTGTATTCCAAGACTGTAAACTAAAAGGGAGCAAAATATTTTCAATATTAGAGAAAAAATTTATTTATAAAATGTGAATAATTGTTAGGAAGGAAAGATAACTTTTCAAAGATTCTGGGATTTTAAGGGTAGTAGAATGAACTTCCACAGAGAGGGGATTGAGTAACTTGATTTTGCTATGCATGTAAAGCAGCTCTTAAAAAGGTTAAAGATATGTAAGGATATATGGAGATCTGTGAGGATATACATGTATACTCATATTTTATTATAATACATATAATAGTTATATATGTATATGTTTGAGATTATTAAGTTTTTAAAACGCAAGTTAAAAAGTACAGTATGGCTAGGGACAAAAGAGTAGCTTTACAAGTGGAGTAATCTGACAAAACTCTACTTCAGCCAGGTGATCAAACTGAATATCAACAGTCATAAATCATGTTGATAGCATATACCCTTGATATGATGTGATGAAAATGGCACTTTACCTCTATGATCTTCCTTCTCAAAACTCATAACCCCAGTCTAATCATGAGAAAAACATCAGACAAATCCCAAAGGAGGGGCATCCTACAGAAAACTGTCAAGGTCATGAAAGACAAGAAAAGTCTGAGAAAGCAGCCAAAAGGAGCTCTAGGAGATATAGCAACTAAATGTAATGTGTCCTAGATGGGATCCTGAAACAGAAAAAGGACATTAGGAAAAAACCAAGGAAATGTGAATAGACTATGTCCTTCAGTTACTAATAATGTATGAATATTTGTTCAGTAATTGTAACAAATATACCATACTAATTTAATATGTTAATACTAGGGGAAACTGTGTGGGTGGGGGGTAGGAGGTCAGGGAGAACTGCAAAATATCTGCTCAGTTTTTCTGTACATAAAAAAACTGTTGTAAAAAATAAAGTCTATTAATTTTTAAAAAGTATGTTAAATGACAAAAATATAGTAGTTAACTTTTTTTTTTCTTCTTTTTTTTTGAGATGGAGTCTCACTCTGTTACCCAGGCTGGAGTGCAGTGGCGCGATCTCGGCTCACTGCAAGCTCCGCCTCCCGGGTTCACACCATTCTCCTGCCTAAGCCTCCCTAGTAACTGGGACTACAGGCGCCCACCACAGTGAGACGGGTTTTCACCGTGTTAGCCAGGATTGTCTCGATCTCCTGACCTCGTGATCCGCTCGTCTCAGCCTCCCAGAGTGTTGGGATTACAGGCGTGAGCCACCGTGCCCAACTGTTTCCTTTTTTTTTTTTTTTTTTTTTTAAAGTCTGGGAGCTATATTACAAACTTACTGGTAGGAACTTTGAGGGATGAGATTGTGAAGAGACTTTTATTTATATTTCCCCTACCTATACTGAAATTTTTGCATTGAACTTTCAGTCATTTTATTTGCAAAAAAATAAATATTTCTATTTTGAAAAGCATTTAGGCCGGGTGCAGTTGCTCATGCCTGTAATCCCAGCACTTTGGGAGGGCAAGGCAGGTGGATCACCTGAGGTCAGGAGTTCGAGACCAGCCTGACCAACATGGTGAAACCCCTTCTCTGCATGGTGAAACCCCTTCTCTGCATGGTGGCAGATGCCTGTAATCCCAGCTACTCAGGAGGCTGAGGCAGGAGAATTGCTTGAATTCAGGAGGCAGAGGCTGCAGTGAGCCAAGATTGCACCATTGCACTCCAGCCTGGGCAACATGAGTAAACTCCGTCTCAAAGAAAAAAAAAAAAAAAGCATTTAGTTACTTGTCCATTGTAAAATCTTTAAGGAAATTCAGGTAAGTACAAAGAAAATAATTCACGTTACAGTCCCTCTACTTAGAAATCACACTGTAACATTTCAGGGTTGTTTTTTCACCTTATGCGTGTTTGGTGAACTCTATCTCTATATAGTATAATATACCCTTTTGTACCTTACTTTTCTCAATTTATCATAGATATCTTTCCATATTAGCTTTCAGGGTAATTAGAAGTAAATTAAAGGTTTGGTACATTTTTATGGGATTTGATACGTCTTTCAAAATTTCTCTGGAAAATTGACAGCAGATTATACTTCCACTACCACGTTCTCAAAGTAACCCATAAACTGGGTCCAACCAGCATTTGAAAATATGCACAATCTCCTTAGAAATCCTAATTCTTTGCTTTTCTTGAAAAATCAGTATATCTAGCAACAGTGGGGCACATTCTTCCCTGAAAACAATTAGCTGGAGTTGAGCAGCAACTGCCCTAAATTCCCTCCTTACTACTCAGCAGTGAGGCTGAGTGTTGACACTTCATTTTGCTCATATTTAATACTTAAAAAAAATTGTTTTATTAGGAGAAATGTAAAACACTTCTTGTAAACATGTCTCTAACAAAAGTGATAAAAGGCAAGAGAGAGAAAACCACACTTAAAGAAAACGGGAACATGAATAAGTTACTTTGTGGAGGGAAAGGACATATTTACATGGTTAATATGTATGCAAAATGCCTCTGTTGCATAAATGTTAAAGCTTTTATTTTAAAACACACCAGACACATATTTATTTATCTCCATTATCTTCCTGGCTTCTATTCACTACTTTAATAGTATTTTAATTTTGAAGTTCTCTGATTGTTTATTGAGGAATTTTGAAGGAATGCTGCCTAAATATCCTTTATTGTTATCAAAAATATTAATATCATTACTATAATATCAGTAGAAATATTATTAGAAATGAATCCATTATTATTATAGTGACAGTATCCACTGTTGGAAGATTGTTAATGTCTTCTTGAATATTTGAGTTATTCATCGTAGCTTCTTGACTGAATATTAATATTTTAATATTCCTAGCTAGAGCATTATAATCCACTGATAACTTAGGAAGTTCATTTATTGAAGAACACAGGTTTGTTTATTGGATATACCAATAAACTAAAATTATGTTTTTCTTGTTTTATTCTAAGTTTTTGTTTGACCTTAAACAAATTATTAAAATTTATTTTGTATATGATAGGGTGTTAATATATCATTTATAATTTTATTAAAGGAAACCTAGACAAGAGCAGGTAGTCTTTGAAAGTGTTTAGCTTGGCAGCCCAATCAAAGAAAATATTTCTAAACATCAGAAGTTTGATTATAAAACAGGAGAAAAAATAAAAAATAAAAGTTGTACAATGATTAAAATGAGGATAAAAGAATAGGGCAAAATCATTTAGACTTACTGGAAGAGAAATGCTTAAAATAGTTTAATTTGATGTTCAAAGCAAGATAACGAAGTAAGTAATATATTGTAAGTATGGTAACAGTACAATGTAAATAATATTTTGAGGAAGAGAGTCATATGGTAGAATAAAGGTTGGAAACAAATGAGGTGATTTAAATATGAGAAAAGTGTAATAGTATAAATCAAATATGGCCCCTGTCATAAAAATTGCAGGTTAGAATTAGGAAAATTTTGCCTATCCTCTCAAAAAAGAAAAAGACAGGCACAATTGGAAAAGGATAATGTTTTCCATTATTGGTTCAAAACAGTTAACCGTATATATTTTTCTCATAGTACTTAGGAATATCATTTAGGAAGGATGGGGCCCTTCATCAGTTCAAGTTCTAATATTTTCAGGGTTACTAGATCCTTATCACTAATGTTAGAATAATAAGATTTGACATTTGTTTTGCCTGTAAGTCAACAAAAACTGTTTTCATGTGATTCTGTGTTTCTGTTTCTGTAAATGTAGTCGTTAATTTGAAATAGCATATTTGCATGGATTTTAATGGCCTCAAATACATTCAGTGGAGATGGTAGTCGAATTTTGCAGAATTCTGGTTTTTATGAACAGGTTTCCTACAAGATTAGTTTTCCTGTGACGTCTGTTGTTAAAATGTGGAGCTTACCATTAGCAGTTTATCTGAAACATGAATAAATTTCAAAGGAGAATGATGTAAACTATGTTGACTTAAAACTGTCAGGGTTTTTTGAGGAGCTGTTATTAAATTAGGAGACAGTAAAAGCTAATTGTGCTTATAATGCTGTTGGTTTCCTTTTCCCAGGTTTATATTCTGTGGTATTGTATGATTCTTGATGACCTGATGGTGGATTGAATATTTTGTGAGGGAATACATATATGTATAATCAGAAATTTGAAATGACTCATTTATAGATGAGTGGTGTGTGTCATGCAGCCATGTTTTAAATTTTTTCTCTTGAAATCTATATGACAGCATTATTTATGAAAATACTTGTATATAGACTCTTGGTTATTTTACTGAAAAATTCTATTCTACAGAATGAAAAAGTTCAACTCATGCTAGTTTATTATTAAAATGAAATTTCCTTCTCTGAGTATTTATAATTTCTATAATATAGTGTTACATATAACTATTTGCTATATTTATAAATAATGTAAGATACAAACATACGTATATATTTACAAGTATACTTTTTAAAATAGGTACCTTATCACCCATCCTTATCAAGCTTAGAAACATTAATGGTTTCACAGAAGTCTGAAATTGAGTATTTACAGGAGAAACTAAAGATAGCAAATGAAAAACTGTCAGAAAACATATCTCCCAGCAAGGTTTTCTCAGAAAAGAGCATCATGACAAGTGCTGAAGGAAAACATAAGGTAGGGACGTTTTGTCATTTTGTGAACTTGCCAGGATGAGGCTGGAAAGGCAGGAGATGAAGTTAAAAAACAAATGGCAGCATTTAGTTCTCTGCCTGTATTTCAGGAAGCTTTTAAAAAATATCATGTACCAACCTATTGATAAAATAACTTTTAGGAATAAGGAGTTTTCCGTTTTTAAAGACTGAATTATATTCCCAAATTAGTTAATTAAACATATTAATAGTACTATATCAATTTTGTCAGTAAATTAACATTCTTATATTAAAACTTTGGTAAGTATTCCTCGTCTCTCTATGGTAAGTATTCCTCATCTCTCTATTAATCTATCTGATTAAAAATTTATTTTTAAATGGTATTTACTCACTTTTCCAATTTGAATTAAAATAAAAATATATCTAATATGTCTTTCAATCAGATTTAATGTTTAAAATACTGTCTGTGTGGAAAATAAAATAGTAAATGAATTTTAACACTAACTTCTGCACTTGTTATATATTTTTATAGATTTAAAGGGATAGCAGTAAGAGAAAAATAAGCAAATTTTACATAGCATGTTTCTCATTTATTAATGTCTCAATTTTTTAAAATATTTATTACATATTTGTGTTATGCTGTAAAAGATTCTACAGATTGTTGACTAATATAAAAATTCTAAAATATCATGTAATATATATGTTATTTCTAGATAAATTGAAATAACATTTTCCTCAAAGTAAGAGTTTTAGCATATTTTTCACGCACTTGTTACTTCAGCAATAGAGGAATAATATTTTTTATGATAGGAAGCCATGTTGTTAAGATATTATTGTTTTTGTTTCTTTCCATTTTTTCTTATGAGTGGGACAAACTATCTTAATAAAGGAAGTATTTAAAATTTGAACCATGTTTCTGTGGTACTGTTATTCATGCTCTCTAAAATTATTAGTAATTTTCAGAAAATGAGATTTATTAGAACAACTGCATTATACATTTCTTGCCATTTTGAAGTAGTTTCACAAGCACTGAGCTTTATTTAAATGAAAGAAAACATTCATAACATTGAAATACAGCATTACCGGGCCTAATTTGGTTGGTTGTTCGACTGCTGAAATTTAAAAATGTACTACTTTGACTTTTGTCTGCTTTTAATAAAAGTCAAGAAAAAGAGAGGGGTATTTCGACCAAAATTTTCTTTCTTTTTGTAAGGCCATGCAGTAAGGATGAACACTGTGTTGCCCAGCTTAATAGTTGCTTTCACATATTCTTTCTCCAGATTGGTATATGAAGCTGTACATAATATAAACATATTCTTGTCTCTAGTTAGCCACATTATAGTTAATGACCATATGGTCATTATGGTATAAGATCTACTGTCTGTTGTATTTATATTCCTCAAGCATATTGTTCCTTCAACTTCACAGTGTGTTAAACTATTTCAAAGGGAAAAAAATCCTTTCCCTCTTGTTTCTGGTTGTCCTATCAAGTGTAACCTTGGACCCTTATAGAGCAATTAGACCAGCCTCTATCCCCTCCTTTGTAATGAGGTTTCTTGCATTTCTGAGTCTATAACCCTTTAGTCTTCCCTAATGGGACATCATTATTCTGAAAGAAACAATGTAAATGTAAATGAATATTCTCATTAACGAGTCACAGAGAAACCTTTAGCGGTAGCACTGTGGTAATTCCGCTTGTTATTTCTCTGGTATTCCATGCAGGATTTTTTTTTTTTTTTTATAATTCATTATTAGTATTCAAAATTACTTGTTCTTTAATTTTGCATGTCTTTCATAATCCAGTGTTCCAACTAGTTCAACCATGTCCTTGTTTTATTCTCGAGGAACCACCTGTGAAACGTTCAAGGTCTTTGTCCCCAAAGAGCTCTTTCACAGACTCAGAAGAGCTACGGAAGCTAAGAAATGCTGAAAGAAAGATTGAAAACCTAGAGAAGGCACTACAACTAAAGGTGAACATTAAATCATTTCTTTAGTAGTAACCTTAAAGATAAAAATATACCAAAGTAAACATACAGTTCACAGATTACTAGTTGTCATTTTTCTTTCTCCTGAATTTAATTGCCTATATAAGTGTATAATCAGTTCATCTTGTTGTGAAGATTTCTGAGGATTATAAAACAATATAAAATATTTGCTACTTGAAAAGTAAATATTTATTTATTGCTTTCAAGTTATTTGGTAATAGTTTGTCTTAAAATTGGGAATACATTTCTTATACTTTAACAAAGGCAAAAAATAGAATTGTAGCAAGCGAAAAGAGAATTTCTTATTCTTTATATATGATAAACATATGAAAATAAAAGTCAGTTTAAAAGCATATTAACCTAGCTCAGATCACTTACAATTATCCTTTATAGAAAAATTACATTTAGTCAACATGAAATATATATATATATTTTCATTTCAGCTGAATTTGTCTCAGAACATGTAATATTTGAATGAGTGCTCTACCTATGTTTAAGAAACATATATGTTATCGACCTGTCTTTGAGAGCTTATATTAATACTTCCTAATTTATACTTCGTGAAATCTCTTTTTCAATATGCAAGTTGTTCATACATATTGAACCCATTTTGTGTGCCTACATTGAGGATTTTTTTTTCTCTTTCATTCTTCACTCACAATTACCTGAAGCTGTGCCCTATTTGAAGTTTAATCATATACTTCTCAAATAGTTTCATGACATTCTGTAAATCCAGTGCTTTACACACGATTAGAATGCAGTACACGTAAAGCTCAGATTCTTTGTCATATGATATAGATTACTCTTAAGGAGAAAAATGTTCGGTTTAGATTATGTGTGTTCTAAAACAAAATAGGGTTTATGGGTATACTTAACAATAAGCTATAAATAATAATTTTAGTTTGCCTTTCCATTAAAGTTTTAATTTATGTTTATTCATTGAGAGTTAAACTGTTCTAAAATATGAAAATTATAATCTGTTTCTACCAAAAATAAAATGTCCAAATGACCTCAGCTAGCATTTAACCTACTTGAAATTTATAAGGAACTTAGATAAACACATAAGTTATTCTCTTATTCATTTGTTTCCTCAATAGCAATTACTGAGCATTGCAATTAGCTAAGCATCATGCTAGTCATTTATCTGACAGGAGACTGTTAGATGAATTACTATCCTTCAAGACCCTTTCTCTAGTTAAGAAGATAAGTAAGTAGTTAGACTCTTGTGTTACTTGTAAATGTGTGGTTAAGCACAGGATATTATGGGCATTTTTGAGGAGGCAGTCTATCACCTTCCTTCTTTTGCATAATTTTTTTTTCTGCTTTTTACTTGAAACAGAGTCTTACTCTGTCGCCTAGGCTAGAGTGCAGTGGCATGATCTCGGCTCACTGCAGCCTCTGCCTCCCAGGTTCAAGCGATTCTTCTGCCTCAGCCCCCCTAGTACCTGGGATTACAGGCGTGCGCCACCACTCCCGGCTAATTTTTGTGTTTTTAGCAGAGATGGAGTTTCACCATGTTGGCCAGGCTGGTCTCAAACTCCTGACCTCCTGCTTCAGCCTCCCAAAGTGCTGGGATTACAGACGTGAGCTACTGCTCCTGGCTCTTTTGCATAATTCTTGAAACTTGTTTCGTGGGTTCTTCAGAACCAATAGGATACACTTGCACACACGCACACAGAACAATTATTTACTATATTTGTATGATTCCTTATAGTAAATTACATTTATATGAGATTTCCTATAAGGAATTGGCTTACATGATTACGGAGGCTCAGAAGTATAAGATCTGCAGTTGCTCAGGGAATGCTATGCAGCCGTAAGAAAGAATGAAATCGTGTGCTTTGCAGCAACATGAGTGCAGCTGGAGGCCAGTGTCCTCTGTGAACTAATGTAGAAACAGAAAACTAAATATCACATGTTCTCAGTTATAAGTAGAGGCTAAACCCTGAGTACACATGGACATAAAGATGGGAACACTAGACACTAAGGAACTGAAAAAGGAGGGGAGCAAGGGCTATAAACCTTACTGTGTTCACCATCTGGGTGATGGGATCAACAGAAGCCCAAACCTCAGCATCCTGCAATATACCCTTGTAGCAAACCTGCACATGTACTCCCTGAATCTAAAATTTAAAAAAAAAAAAAAAAAAAAAAAAGATTTTCAGTCGGCAAGCTAGGGAGCCAGGAGAGCTGATGGTATAGTTCCAGTATGAGCCCAAAGACTATAGAACCAGGAAGGCTGATGGTGTAAGTTCACGTTCAAGTCAGAAGGCAAGAGAAGACTGATGTCCCAGCTCGAAGGCAGGCAGAGAGAAAGGAATCTTTCTTACTCAGCTTTTATTCTATTCAGACTTTCAACAGATTAAATGACATCCATCCATATTGGGGTGGGCAATCTACTTTATTCAGTCTACTGATTAAAATATTAATCTCATCCAGAAACGTCCTCATGGACACACCTAGAAATATAGTTAACCAAATATTTGGGCAGTGAAGTTGACACATAAAATTAACCATCACACGGGCCATTCAGTAGTAGCAGATCTCTACCTGTTTACCTCAAGAAATCTGTAAGACTTTGACGGTTCGTTATTTTTGCCAGGAAGTAGAACATTTCAAAGATATTTTTAAATCTGTTATCTTCCCTTCCACTTCTTAAATTCCTTGTTTCAGGAAACATCCCAGAAGGATTATACTAATTTATTTCCTCATTCCTTTTTCATGACAACAGCTTTCTGGGATGTTGCCCCAAGTTTATTTTCAGAGTAAAGTTCTTTTTTTCCAAAAATTTCTTTTCTTATTGATAGTTTTTTAAGTGTTCATATTTAAGTCAGTTGATGATAATCATGAATTTCAAATGTATGTCTTTTAACAGATTTGCAAGATGAGGAAAAAAATGGGAGCAAATATTTTTCTCTACATCATTTAGTAGGAAAGGATTATTTATTTTAAAGGAGCAAGGTAGTTGAATGTAAAAGGTGCTATAATCAAGAACATTTAGCAAAAAATGTAGGTAAACAGAAACTGTAGAGTAAAGCAATTCCAAAGAGAGTAATGGAGCCCAGAGTAATTGACTTTAGTCTGGTAAAGCTAAATATTCCGTTTAATGAAGACTGAAGACTTCATTCCATACTCTCCCTTTTTATGCTATGATTATACTTATTGGCATTACTAAAGATATATGAGTATAAAGTAGTAGTTAATAATGTGTCTATATTAGTTTCCGAGGGCTGCTATAACAGAGTTCCATAAACCAGATGGCTTAGAACAACAGATATTTATTGTCTCAAAGTGGTGGAGACTAGAAAAGTACAAAATGAAGTTGTCAGCAGAGTTGGGTCCTGAGGGCTGTGAAGGAGAATCTGTTCCATTCCTCTCTTAGTTTCTGGAAGCCTCACGTATTCCTTGGTTTATAGACGGCATTGTCCTTGTGTTTTCACATTGTCTTCACTCTACACATCTGTCTTCCCTTGTCTGTGTTTCTGCTTTTTGTAAGGATATCATTCCTATTGGATTAGGGCCCATCCTAATGACCTCATTTTAACATGATTACCTCTGCAAAGATCCTATCTCCAAATAAAATCACATTGTGAGGTCCTGGGGATTAGGACTTCAACATACTTTTAGATGGGAGTGGTAGGGTACAATTTAACTCGTAAAATGTGTCTTATGGTTTTTAAGATACATTTGTTGATTCAGTGCTCCTTTTGTAGACCATTACTAATGCATGTTGAATTTTTGTCATGGCCTTTGGTGTTATATGGAACACTGCTCTGGCAGAATTTAACGGGAACATGATAGATTAAAATGTTCCATGCTGAAGTGATGATTGTAAACAGTTTTGTGAACCTTTAACATATGAATATGTGTTGTGAATCTACAGAAAAGTATAGGCACATCTTTTCCCTGATTTGCTTGGTTGTATTATACCTATTAATATTAACCAAAAGACTGTTTGTTGTTCCATGAAAAATATTGTGGGAAATGCTGAACTAAAGACAAAAGACATGCTTCATGGCACAGTAAGTAGCTTTAAGGTCCCAAGATGATTACCACGGTGGATCGAAGGGTGAGAGGGACAAGTAAGTTTCAGGAGTAACCCATGGAACACATGCATATACACTTTGATATATTGAAATGATGCTGTTATATCAACAGTAAGTTACACACATTAAGTGATTCTTATCCTTGTTATGAATTTGGTATAAATATTAGCACAGTATCTTGCTCAGCTTACATTTATGGCTAGTTTTTTGTATTTTCAAGGTAGTCACCTACCGTGACCAATGTGATAACAAATAGCCAGTAGAAATGGAAGAAATGGAAGCTATGTTTATAAAAATCCTACCCATGTTCCTGACTTGATGAATGTAGTGATCTATCAACTTGCAAAGTATAATTTGGAAACCAGTGCATCAGAGCTTTATGAAATCCGTAATAATCTTGACTAATGTGGTGAATTCCTGCTTCATTGATTTTCATGCATTTGGCAACTTGATTCTATTAGCACTTTTCAGTGTCATTTAATAATATTAGTATGTCTTTTGAATGCAGCCTATGTCTTTTATTTTTCAGTGGTCAGGTACACATCAACTTTATACATTCTGCTGAAACGAAACATCTGTAATGAAATCCTTGGTATTTTATAAAAGGTTTTTGGCTTTTTTTTTTTTTAAACTTCTTTCAAATCTTGTTCTTACTCCCTGAAGACTGAACCACTGTTTTAAAAACAGTGTTCACGCCTTATTCTCATCAAGGAACCTTTGTTCAAACCAGAAGATTAGATAAAAAATTATTGGCCGGGTGCAGTGGCTCACGCCTGTAATCCTAGCACTTTGGGAGGCTGAACCAGGTGGATCACAAGTTCAAGAGATCGAGACTATCCTGGCTAACATGGTGAAACCCCGTCTCTACTAAAAATACAAAAATTAGCTGGGTGTGGCGGCGCGTGCCTGTAATCCTAGCTGCTCAGGGGGCTGAGGCAG